AAAATGATGGATTTGGTAAGAAAGTTATCTAAAAAGCTCATCATAGAAGATATCATATATGTTTTGCAAATCTTGTAGTAGAAGTCTTATTCTACAAATCTTATTTTGGAAATTTTGTTTTGAAAATCCTATTCTAGAATGCATCCATCTTATATGTTTTAAAAGTTGTTTTAGAAAACATTTTCCGAAAAACATCTCATATATTCCAAAAACATTTGTTTTGCAAAACTTCTAAAATGCATTTAAACCTGTTTTTAAGACTCGGTTCTTAAATCCAAAAATTCTAAAGAACTTGTTTCCAATATATTTTTAAAAGGCTTAATACCCTATTTTGTCCCCAGTTTCGCTCGAAAATGTCAAATTAGTCCATCCTTTAAAAAATGCGTCAATTACGTCCTCACTTAATAAAATTTGCATCAATGAAATCCCTTCCGTTAAATCCGTACAAACGACGTTAATTGAGGAAGTAGAAGAAAGAGAAAAATAATTAACGCCGTTTGTACGGATTTAACGGAAGGGATTTCATTGATGCAAATTTTATTAAATGAGGACGTAATTGACGCATTTTTTAAAGGATAGACTAATTTGACATTTTCGAGCGAAACTGGGAATAAAATAAGGTATTAAGCCTTTTTAAAATAAGTAATCCAAAAGTAACCTTTTTTAAAGATTGAAATATTTTAAAAAATATAGGGGTGCAATTGGAAATTGTGGGGTACATACAGGAAAACAAAATACTTCCTTCCATGATTAATAATTGTACAAAAACCTGTTCTCTTTCTTTCCTTTCTCTGTTTCTCTTTCATCTAAGTCGCTGACATTATTTTGTTTCCAAACTCTCTCTGTTATACTTTTTGGAGGTTTTTGAAATTTGAAGAGATTAGAGTGCACTTCACAGCATAAATCAGGAACCTCTCACCTTCCAATTATTGTTTAATTCTTGCCGCCGTCGATTCGCAACCCTAATTTGCTGCCATGACTGAGGTAAACGCGTTAATCACCGCAATTTTTCGTTATATAGTTTTCATAATCATTCTGATGCACTCTTCACACAGTTTTTTTTTTTTTTTTTTATAATTTATTTTCCTGCACGCAAATGACATCAAAGTCTTTTTTTCTTAGACCTTCTGCCCCTTTCATAATCGAAATTACCACCCAGATTATGTATGTGATGAATTTATGCTTATTATACCTAAAAACCAAATTAATGTGAAAAGTATTTGGATTTTGTAATAATATATTGGGAATCAGAAGGTAGGACTGTAGGAGACTATTACAAGTGCATGTTTAAGTCGGTTTATTTTGGAGAAAAACTGATTATTTGTAGTTTCATGAAGATGCTTTTGTAAAAAATAAGAATTAATTCTTCTAAATATGTATTGCAAACATGTAGTAAGTATATTTTAGAAGTACTGTTCGTTGTGTGTGAATTATACTATCATGAGAGAAGGATTTGGAGGTGGGTTATTGAGATGCAATGGTATGTTCGGTTTTCTGATATGTGAAGATCAGAGTTGTTATTTGTGGCTGATTAATTGTTTGGATGCACTGAGAAGTTGGCGCTTTTCTTTACTCCTTTTTATGGTTTTCAGTACTGGGTCAGCCAGGGCAACAAATGGTGCGACTTTTGCAAAATTTATATATCAAACAACCCTTCGAGCATTAGGAATCATGAGCTTGGTCAACGCCACAAAGATAATGTTGCCAAGAGGCTGGCTGCTATGAGAAAAGAAAATATTGCTAAGGAGAAAGAACAGAAAGAAACAGCCCGTGCCATTGAACAGATCGAAGCGGTAAGGGTTTTACTCTTTATTTATATTTATATTACTGATATTTATTCTGCATTCATCATGCTTGGAAAAGTTTATTTGATATCATGCTTGGAAAAGTTTATTTGATATCACTTTTATAAAGCTTGAACGGGACTTGTTGGTACAATTAATGAGGTATATTAGTAACCGATTTGATTAACATAGTAAATCAGGCATGCATAAGGACCAACAAGGTTATTAAACTAGGGAGTTTACATAAACTTGTGAAGCCTTTTTGAATTTCATTCTTAAGGTTGGAAAATGATAGCTAATATGAAAACAAATGTTTAAAACCCAAGATAGTATTCAAGCTGAAGGTAAATTCCTTTGTAGAAGACAGACAACAGTGAGGGTTTTATCCATTCATGCAGTTGATTTAAACACTTTTGAAAGATTGCATATTTTGGGCTTTCTATGAATAGAGCCATCTGCTAGTGAAAATTCATAAAAAAGAAATAACATAATCATGAACTGTTCATTCATCCATACTGTTTTACGTTCTTTACTCAAGCCACAAATACAAGCCTGAAGTTATGGAAATGGACTGCTGCAAAGTCAGAAACCATAGGCGGTTCTCACACACTCTTTTAAAAATTTTCTCCCTAGTAACAATGATCCATTTTTCTTTACAATGCTAGAAAAAATGAGTGAAAATTTTCCCATAACATAATGCATACTTATTAGTTTTAGAGGAATGCTAGCTATGCAAATACTGTCAAAGGTCAAAGTGTATTCAAAAGAGGGACAATAAGTATGTTGTTAGCATTTTTCTCTTGACTTAAATCCAAACAAAATACTTGATCAGAGGGTTCTTGGATTCCCAAAATAATTTTTCACGGGAAACGTTTACTGTATCTGAAGATTGAGAATTATCTGGAAATTGAAGTTGCGGGAAATTCACACCTATGCTTCACTTCTTTCCAAATTGGATATATTTGAGTTTCAAGAGCATTGTGTGTTCTGTTACATATTTACACTCAAAGATGAGATATATAAATTTTGTTATATCTGTTTTTTTTTTGTATTCTAATGTAGAAAGCACAGCGTAGCTATCAAAAGGATAAAGAAAAATTTGAGGAAGCCAGAGAATCACTTGAGTTGGATTCCCAAGGTTGTAAGTATAAAATCTGTATATTTCTATTGATAGAGTTGTGATTAGTTATTAATCTTCTTATTCGGGTGCATTGTTTTGAAATTATGTCTATGTTTAGATCATATATGGGGGAATAAATTGTTGTCCTCTACAGAAAAATAATTTTGGAGACAACTCAATTAGGAGAGCTCCATTTCCTGAAATTAATTATAATTGTTGTTTTTCAAAGCATTACAAAGAAGTTATTGTGCCACAGTTCTTTCCTAAGATGATCAGTAATAATTGTACTTGAAAGACCAGATTTTTCTTTTTTGCGTAAAGTGGTGGTAGTTGGCTTGTATAAGCGGATATGTCAAGCAAACCCTACTATGTAAGTAATTGTTCAGCAAGCTGTAGTTATAACCGACTTTACTTTGTAAGAGGAAATGTAAGATTATTGAGCATTGGAAGTTGTCCTAACTAATATTAATTTCATGTGGTAGATTTAGGCGTTGGAGTTCATAATATGTTATTAAAATAAGTCCTAACCCTTTAAGGATTGGTAACCTGGTGTATTTAAGAATTTTGGGTAAATAGTCTATTTATTTTTCTGTCAAATTTTAGTTCTCTCCGGAGAAATTTAATCAATGGTATAAAACATCTCTAACTTAATTTCTTCTATTAATAAAGTGGAATTCTTTTCCTCACAAAAGAACTTGAATATAAAATCTAAGACTTATGATCAGTCTCCTCCCCCTTTGGATCCTTTTTTCTTCATTTTGGTAGATACTACCATGGATGTAAAAGGACAATAAAATGTTGAAATCAATGTTATTATGGTGTATCGTACTAGGTTCACTGAAAGAGCAGAATAAGTCTATTTTACTCTCAATTTTTTTCTTAAAAGAAATTTGATTTTTTTTTTCTGAAACTGTTCATGGTGGTGGTAGTTTTTTGTATTGACAGCATAAATATAAAATTTTGTTCCTGTTCAGCGTGGAAAAAGATATGGATCAACTGTTGTTACATTTTCAACTGCATCTCCTGTAGTAATAATTGAGGGCCACATTTGTTTTTAAACATTTAACTTCAATATTTTTACATCAAACGAATAAAATTAAGGTCATGATACCAAAAATGTATACATGTAGCTTCATGATACAAATCCAGCTCTATATACTTCAACAGAAGTCAGTGTCGTGTATTGCATTGTTGCTGTATTGGTTTTGTATCTCAACTGATTTTGGCTTCATGATTGTGTAGAATGGGAGCTTGACAGAAGTTCAGGCTATTATTATCATAAAACAAATGGATTTTGCTATGACCCAAAGTCGGGATTTTACTACTCTGATGCCATTGGTATGACACTAGAACTGCTGTCTTACCATACATGTAATTTATCATGTTGATAATTGATGGCTATTTATTTCAAAATATTTCAACAGGAAAGTGGGTGACAAAGGAAGAAGCATATGTCTCCCCTCACTTTACATCTAAGTCCTTGTCAAAATCAAAGTCGAAATCAGATGAAAACAAGTCAAATAAATTTCAAAATGGATCTTCATCTGGGCCAGTAATTACAACTGCTTTGAATCCTAAAAGAAATGTGAAAGCTGCTCCTTCATCTCTTGCAGTCGGAAAGAGAAAAAGACCTAATGAAAAATCCAAAGTTATCTCTGAAGAAGAAAAAGCAGCTCTCAAGGCAAGAGAGGCTGCAAGGAAGCGAGTGCAGGAGAGGGAAAAGCCCTTGCTTGGCCTTTACAGCAAGCCTTACTAATAACTTTGCAAATTTACCTTAACAGACATAGCTTCCCCCAGAAATGTGAGGTTGTTCTTCTTTTTGCCTGATTCATTTATGCTGTGTCATTAAGGTGGGGTCCTAATTCCCCAATTGATTTCCAAGTGACTCTCTATCTTGTACAATGTAACTGCTCCATTTTCTATTTTTGTTTTTGCAATATATGCTAATTTACAGCCTTGTTTGTATCTAGGAGAGGAGAAAAGGAGGATTAAGAAGTCTTCATTAGGATGATGAAACCAAATAAAATCCCTGTTTCAGTAACATTTGGAAAAATCAAGATATTTATTTTGAATTTCCGGTAATTTTTCACAACGGAAAATAATATAACAACGTTTTATGAATGCATTTTCTTATCAGCTATGTTATTTCTTTAAAATCGCATCTTTTAGTCATAGACACACGACCAAGTCTGGTGTTTATCAAGTAACTGTCAATGATTTTGGATAAGTTATTGTTCGAGCAGTTGGAACCGTTGGTATTTAATTTTAATGTTATCTTGGTTCAGAATACAAAGGCAGGGGGATTATTCTCCAATTGGGTTTTTGAATGCTTTGTTTCGAGTCCAGAGTCATTAACATGCATTTCTTCTGCACAAAAGAAAAATTATACCATACTTCAGATTATCCAAGGTAGTGACTTAAGTTTTTAAATACGGGAAGTTGTGACCCATATTTACTTCCAAAATTCTGTAGGAGGATATAGAAAGAAAAAAAAATAAAGTTGGATGCTAAAGGCTATATGTCTTTGTGACTTTTACCTGACAATGGCTTGTCCATTTTAGCTTCTAAATCAACCTGAAAATGTTATTTTCCCTCACAATGATCATTGATGGCAAATAAAAGCACAAAGTGTAAGCATAATAGGCTAACCCAATGTCAAGTAATCCTTCCTTCATCTTTTCTCTGCTGATTAGATGAATATCCTTTTATTGCCATTCAAGTCATTCTATTCACTTTATTCCCCACAATGGAGTCCCTCAGCTCCCTTATATAAGCACATCCACATTCATGTTGAACACAAATCAGACAGAAAATATACCACACTTCACTGAACAATTTCTTTCATTTACCTTAAAAAGAATGCCTTCACCTGTACAGCCAAATCCCTCTCCATCTGAGGGAGAGAAGCACAGGCAATTGAATAAAGACATTAGGGACATGGTCTCTGCCATCACTCACAGGGCCACTGATTTTCACAAATCAGGCTCAACCCACCACCATTTGGAGAAGGATGAGGAACATGGTTTGAGCATGGTCACCCTTGCAGGTAACAACAATGGTGCCACTATGAGAAGTGAGTTGGATGATAAATCAGGCACCCATTCTCATGGTGATGAGCCAGAGGCACTGAGCACCTTTGTTAACAGCAACTTCCAAGCCATCAACAATTCACTCATGTTTGGTGGAAGTTATCAGGCCAACGACCCTGGTGTGCACCTGGATATCTCAGATTTCTCCACTGAGCCTCACCAGAGCCACCACCACAAGGAAGAAAGACAAGGGAAGAAGGGAAAGAAAATAGAGAAAAAAACTTCCAAAGCCAAAGATTCATCATCATCATCTGATTCAGATTAATGTTGGTACTGAAAGCATCAAACCTGTTGAGTGCCGGAGAATACATACGTTCAGAACCATTGTGCCTTGCTTGAATAGAACCACTTGTGTCCATTGTTAAGCTCGCTAATCATATCTTATATCCTAAGTATGTTTGAATAACCATGTTTTTGTAATATGTTGCTTGTGTTTTTTTATTCTTTTCTTTGTGCTTTGTCAAGCAAAAGCAGAATTTAATTTTCTCATCATATAATTGTATTCTCTATGCCAATGATTTATGAGTATACAGTGTATGCTATGGTGAATGTGGTTTGTGTATTTGACACAAATTTTAATAACTAGACAATTCTGCAAGTTTGGTTTAAGACGTTGTTGATCATTGATTAACTATATTGTGGTTGTCACTGCATAGCAATGTTCAAGCCATAGTTTGTGTAGTTCCTACTAGAGTTAGACAGAAAATATATTTTAGGGTAGTCAAATATAATTAAGAGGAAAATTTAATATTTACATTAAAAACTACATCAACCGTATAAATATATATTTTTCATATTATTGTGGCCGCAACTAAACTTTGCTTTTATTAAATAAAATGACTCATTTGAACCTTATAGTTAAATACATTTTGCCTCTTTGCACTTAAAAATCATTCCTTTTAGTAAGTATACTATTTTATGTTTTTTTATAGCTTTAGACGGTAAGAACTAAAACAGGTTAAAAATTATATTGTAAAGATTAAAAGAATATAAAATAGTTAATTTTTATAAATACAGTGACCAAAAGGTAAAATTTATATAACTATGAGGAGTAAATAGTAATTCAACATATCTAGTATTATTAATAGTTGAAAATGAATATGAATTAGTAGAACAGTATATGTGTGATGGTATTTAAATCTAAATTTACAATAATTTGAACATTTATTAATTGTGTATATCATCGAAGAACTAATATTTTGATACATAGAATAACTAGCATATTACTAACTCTGTCTTTAAAGGTTACAGAAACCAAGAAATGTACTAAAATTTTCATTTAAGTAAAATAATTATGAACTTTTTTACTTTATTTCTTTTTATTTGTACTCCATAATAATAATATATAAGTGTAACGTAATTAAAGATTAGAGATGGAGAATAAAGTTACAATTAGCAAACAAATTAATTAATTATGCTTAGAACTTAAAATTAAAAAAACTTTTACAAATATGCCAGTTAAATCAGAACTGTAAAATTTGTTAGTACAAGTCAAACTGGTTCGAACATTCTTCAAGGTCTTATTTTTAGTCTGTTGATGTATTAAAAAAAAATTATTTGAGTTCGAAAATGTTAGAACTGTTGAAGAAAATTGTTTCATTTCAGTCAACATTATCCAAAAGTACAGTTTAATCCAGTTCTTTTTGTTTGCACTAAATTGATAACTGTATTTAAATCACTGATTTTTCATGTATGGGTTTACTTAAAAACATACATTCAACCCCTCAATTAGGAGACACCTACAAATCAAGGAAATCGAGAAGTGATAGCAATCAAATTGCAACTTAAACAATGATGAAAACTATGCATCTTTGTCCTACAGATAGCTCTACCAATATCTTTCTGCTCAACAATTTCATACTCATTCCTGTGTGATTGACTATCTTTTCTGGAAATTAAGGAACTTGATGCCATAAGCAAATACTAAAACGAAGAGGAGGCAAAAAGCAACATGAGTTAATGCAACAACTCCAAGGAAGTCATGCTGGAAGCCCAACTTCCTGTCAAGGTAATCTTTTACTGTCATGACTCCAAAGCCAGGAACCTCTATGGGACTATTTTTGTCACCAACTTGGGATGTCACCAATCCATATATAGTCCAAGCCACAGGAGATCCCCAATAATACCACCTCCACCATATTGGAATTTGCTGCATAATGAATGAAATGTAACTTTTAGTTTCACCAAAAGGCAATAAATTAAATAGTACACTTAGCCTACATAAAAATGGTCTATTGTGTTAGGATTTTAAGTGAGTTGAAAGTTTCACATTGGATGAAAACGAAAAAGTTGAATAGTAAAAGAGAAAAACAAGACCCAGAAATATTGAGTCTTTTAAGGTTTTATGATGAAAATGGTATCAAATATCTTATGAACAACTCATACATCAGTTTGTGGTCTTTCTCAATAGAAATGATATTCCAACTCTGATATCAGAGTCTACCTCAGGAAAAACAATTCCAACAAATTGAAATTTTAAACGTTTTCAAGGATTCATTGATGCCCTTAAAGGGTCACTTTTTATTCTAGGATCTCACATACAGTATGAACCTTGTTGGTTGCGTCCAAGGTTTTAAAAATTGGTCTACTACCATGATTTCAACCATTATATCGAGGCTCTTTAGCTTCCCATGCTGCAATAGTCATTTTATTCACAATTTCTCACGATGTCAAGGATCACAACAAAATTGCAATTTTGATATTTAGAACCTTAGTTGGGTCTGGACACCATCATATAATATTCTTGAGTTAAAATTTAATCTTCTGCATGAAAGTGACTACTAGTGTTTCTTTAGTCCTAATGCACATACAAATTGGTCCTTGAAACTACTAACTTGCTAACAAGTTTACCTTACCAATGTTAGACAAGTTTATTTCCTAAATAACTAATTTATATAGACAAAAGCTTGATGAAAGAAACAAAATTTTTCTGTGGGTGGTCTGATTGGAGGTAGCAGAAAAGGCTGAATAAACATTGCTAAGATAAATTCTGATAACATGTCTTGAAGTGAACTTTAGATCTAACTCTTAAAAACAGACTTATAGGATAAAATTTGTAGCTACGTATATACTACAATTTTGTTTTATCTCTAGTCAATCTAGGATCTCCAATATATATAAGAAGAGAACAAGTTACTCAAATCCCATCCCATCCTCATCCTTTACTTTTTTCTTTTCTTTATCTAACTGTTAAACGTTAATTACTTATCATAACAATTATATTAAGAAAAAAATGAAATGTTAAAACGAGGAGTAAATTTTTCAGAGTTAATATAGGATGGATACATAATATATATATATATATATATATATATAT